TTTTAAAGAAGTTCTTAGAATTACCATGACCTGGATGACCTAAAATCTACACCAAAATTTGTAATGTTGAGTATAATACGATATATTATAATCCCATCTGTATACCAAAACCAAACTTTTCTGTATGATTGTTTATTTGTCATTGATTGATGTGGAAGAAACACAAACAAAAAACTTTCTTACCTTAGTGCAAAGAATTAGGATTATTTTAAGATCACATTGTTAAAAGCAGTATGCATCTTTCTTAGTGGAAACAATTAAAGACCCACTGAAAAATATTATTTAAATTGCATACTGTCACCTGTGGCAATTGTCCATAGCCTCTGATTATGTATGGAGTAAATTCTATGGATTTTAGAGATATGATCTGATCTATATATCATGCAAAAGTTTGTATATTTTCACAAATCCTGCAGAGCTGCAAAGATGCACAAAACATATGAGCAAGAACTGTCTCTGTCAAAGAGACTGCTACACAGAGGACCGGATCAAACGTTAATATTAAAATCCTTTTCTTTTGCGTCTTCTTTTGCAGGTAATTTTCCGATTAGAACGTGACATTATTACTTCTGAAGTCAAGTCACAAAAGCTGCTAAACCATCTTCTACTATTCATTTCCATGAATTAATAATTTATAAAAGTCAATAACTACAAAAACAGAAATCTGACCCCACCATGCTGGAACACTCAGTATCAACACTCAGACTGGATTACAGTAATGAATCTGAGGGTTCACAGAAACGTGTTGGATATAGTCCATGCAGTTTATTTTGATTCTGAATTGAAGGCAAGCTGTTATGAGATGACTATATCCCAATAAAATCTGTTGTCAGTGGAAGCAGCTCCAGGATTTCTCATCACTACTATCCTTTAAAACCAAGCTGTAAAATATGTAACACAATTCTATATTAGGGCAGTTTTATGTCTTCATGGTAACACAACTCTCTCCTGACACTGTGCAGCAGGAGGACTCAGATCCTTCATCACCACTGCCCTCCAGTGGCCAGAAAGTGAGCTACCAGACGGACCCTCGACCTCACTTTGGGGTAGCCTGGTCCTCCCACTCCACATGCCGCCCTCTGTGGGGCAGTGAGGGGCCCTGCTGGGGACAAAGGAACCAGGAATCGCCCGATCAGACCGACACCTGTCCTCACTGCCATCTGGGTTTACCCCTTGACACACTGCGCTGGCATGAGGTTGGCACGAACACTTGTAAACACACACAGACATAAATAGAGATGCACTTTCCAACTAACCACAACAACGTTTGTGTCACTCTGTTTACTAGAAAGCCTCTGACTGTTTTGTTTCTCTCTGGACAGGCAAAGTGTCTGCTGTTTGAAGGACTGAGGAACTCGAAGAAATGAAATGAGCAAAATGTTTAAATTATTGTCTTTCTTAGGAAATTCTCAGGAAACTCTTAGCACCTTAGTGTTTTTGCAATATCTGCTAGTGCTAGTAAACATCTATCCATTTACAGTTAAGCTTGGTCAAGTCGATTCCCTTTTTCAGTTATGACTTATTGCTTAACTTCTGTGATCAAATACTTTTTCTCTCTGTTGAAACTAGAGAGAGCTGAAGGCAAACTGCAGGGTTCAGCTGTCTCTCTACTAAGTTTAACTCCCTTTTGGAACAAAGTATTAACATTTTATACCTCTTTTATTACAATGGTTTCATCTTTTTCATTCATTTTCTTGTCTTTTACCAGATGTAATGTGATGTATGTAATGCATGTAAAATAAATATAAGTAATAATACCTGTGAACAGCCGAAGTACTTTTTAATATATTAAAACAGTCCCTTTACTTTCTGTACTTTTCGACATATACTTTCATAATGCTGAGCAATCATGGACTGGCCATCCTGTCTTTGTCATTTTTTCAACGTTGAATTCCTTAGTACTGCTTTCTAACAGGGTTTATAAAAAGGGCGTATACGATTTTAATTACAGGCCTAATAAGTGGTTAATAAATCATTTATTAACCCTTTATAGATCAGTTATGAGTCATGCAATTACTGGGTTGTAAAACTCTCCTTGTCAGATTATCTTTACTGCACTAAATATTGGTAATCTATTATTACATTTCAGATTTGTGCAGTTCTAAACATTAATGAGCTAGTAAGTATGTAACAGATTCTTTACTCTGCTTGACTATGACATGATTGGTTGTTGTTATTCTTTAAAGAAAACAGACTTTAAATTACTTCCCTATTTCTATATTTATTCATTCAACTTTTGTTTAAACTCAAAGCACTTTGACGTTTGAAGGCCTCATTTATAACGTAGCCGATCAAGAAAGTAAAAGATTGACGTACGCAAATAGGAAACTTAGATATCGCTAAAATATTAAAGGGAAAAGTTAGTAAAACATTGAAATATAAACACTATTTAGACCATTTAAGTTTCAAAACAAATGAATTAACTAAAACAAGAGTAGCTGGAAGTAAAAATGTCGCATGGAGGGCCAGGTATTAAGGCTGAGCAGTCCACCGGGTGGGTCGTTGTGTTTGAGGACGCAGAAGAGTTTGATAAAGTCCTTTTGAAACAATTCAGGCTGCTACTTGTAGATGACATTTGTACCAATGTGAATGATGGTCTGTCAAACATAGGGTTCAGTGAAACCTGAGAAACAAACTGTGAGCTATGCTTACCTTGACATTATTATGGATTATTGAATCGCCAGTGATGAGTGTTGATGGAGGAGTTGGCACTCAGTGGGGACAGCTGGGGTGGACAGCAGCTCCGCGGGTTCCTGGACTGGTACAGTAGTGGTTAGATGGAGTCCTGGGATCTGTCCATGCTGGATATCAGCAGCTCCAGTACCAGAAAGCGACTGAGACTGACCAGACCAAGGATCTCAGGAGGCTGAATGTCCATCCTGTTCATCTAGAACCTCTT